TCATCTATTTTCAAAATTTAATAGTTTTAAGATCACTTGGCTCCTTAATGGCTGCCGGCCGTTAATTTCTTTGTCGGTCACATGAGTCTTTAACCCCTGTCAATATGCAACCCTACAGATTTGTTAAGTACCTACATGTATGTTAAGTGTTCTTATACCTACATGTTATGCATAACGCAACCCTATAGAGGAATGAAAAGGTAATTTTAATGTCCACCGTCCGTTAAGGAACCAAGTAATCTTCGAAGTATTTATTAAAGTTCTTTTTTTTTTGTTTTTGTTCAATTCAGTGTAACTAGCCTCCGTTGCTTGTGGTTTCTATATAAACAGTCAACGACACACGTTCGTCTTGTCTCGAAATGAGACAAGGGGACCAATGGGACAGGGGGAAAGGGGACAAAACGGGACAAGGAGACAAATGGGGCAGGGAGTCAAAAGGGGACAAAATAGGGAAAGTGGGACAAAGGGGACAAGTGGTAAAATGGGACAAAACGGGACAAGAGAACTATACGGGACAGGGGGACAAAATGGTTCTAGTATGCTCTTACGATGCAATTTTGGTCTTGTAAATGTCCCGTATGAAAGAAGAATCGTACAATTTGAAATGTAAGATGGCATTGCACTCGTACGTATTAAAAGCAAGGGCGTTTCTTATTTATATTTTTTTTCTTATAAGGTGATACGTATATACGTAAGTATTGAACGACACACGGCCGATATAACGAATAACAGACGAGTGGTGTTCATCGACCTGATGACGTTAATAACTGTATCATCCTTAGCAACGAATATGAATAACCATCGATTCATCGCAAGCCAAATGTTTATTAAGACAAAAATGGCAATGTTTTGTAAAAACCAGATTCAAACAATTCAGAATAAAAGTTACTTATATTAGATTTTGGGATAATTATTGTTAATTGTAATATTAATAGTGCAATTAAAAATGAGTATTAGGTAAATTAACCTCATTTTTCTGGCATTGCCCTAAATGACACGCTTCTCTGGTAATCATATTTACTGACGATCTGAAGGTGTCGCCACTGGAAGTCGACACGCCAACTTCCACATCGAACGACATTTTTTTAAGTATCTATAGGTTCAGGAGAATAGTTTTCATCCATCTTCTCGACATACGAATATTGTTTAAATAGATACAGTGCATAACAATCTTCTTTGTACTGTGATTGTTATAGGAAATTTATGAATTATTGCATAGAAAGAACGAATGCATAATGTAAAATTAGAAACAAAGTAGTAAGAATTGCATAATTTATAAAAATAAGCAAGAGATTATCGCAAAAATCAGCTTATAATGTGAAGTTCATTCTATCCAGGTGAAACATTTTTGTTTGTACACTTGAAACAATTTCCTTCCTAGGCTGTTAATACTTTTCACCACGTTCAGACGTACTTCTTCCGTTATCAGTAGGGGACGGACTTTAATGGCATGTAATTTTTTATCACTTGAGAACAATGCCGTTTAGTTTAGAAATTCGTTTTATGTTAAGACAAAACGGAATTGTTCATTTTTATTTGTCTTTGTTTTGAATTTTTCGACAATTTAGACTAATAAGTCTTTTTTTAAACCTTTTTACATAATTTTTAATGCATTTTTGCTGATTTTACTCATTTTAATATCATTTTAATGGTACTTGTTTCAAACAATTTTTTACGAGATGCAACAAATGTTCACCACAGAATTCCCGAGTAGTCTCATATATTGTAATGTCAGCCATTGTGAGTACTATATAATCTAAGGTTCCTATGATGCTTGACGGCGCCATTGTGAGTTCGGCCGATTTCGCGATAAATAAAGACAGAGAGTTTCTTTTAAAGAAGGCCAAACCCTAAGTTTGCTAGCTGAGTTCACTTGAACAAATGGAAGCAGCCTCGATTACATCAGTAACATTGCCAACAGCTTGCGTTGTTCATCTGAAGTGGTTTTGATAATTTTTCTTTGTTTTTGGGGCATTTTAAAAGCATTTTAAGAGCATTTTATTGATCATTTTTGGCAGTGTTTTAGGTCAACAAAATCCACCCACTAATTATCAGCTGTATTTCGTTTGGGGATTAGTGTGTTTCACGGTGGGAAAGAGGAAAGAACTTACCACTGACGTAAAGGAAATCATCGTGACTATTGGTTTACAAGGATATTCTCTGAGAGGCATTGGACGCAGAGTGAACAAATCCCATTCTACAGTCAACTATGTGTTAAATAAGTTTATATACAACGGTTGAACAAAGAAACTACCAAAAATGCCACGAAAAAGAAGTTCAATGGCGGTTATCATGGCTGAAGAGCACGAGAGGGAATTCATAAGTAGAAAAAATCGACATGCCAGAATTAAATTCTGCAGAGACCACGAAAACAAATATATGGTGTTCAGGAATAATGTTATTTGGTCGGATGAAACGAAAATAACTCATGGTTCTTATGAATGCCGAACGGAATGGAGAAGATAAATACGGCCAACGAAACGACAGCACTCTGTCTACTGTGAAACATGGAAAAGATTCTATGATGTTTGGAGGTGCTTGTCGTTTAATGAGGTTGGAACTACGCAGATCATTGATGGTGTTATGAACAAATGGGGATACTTAGATGTCTTGATGAATTAAGTTGAGCAGAGAGCAGAAAAAATACAATTAGGGCTAAGATAAATTTTTCAACACTTTAATATGACTCTAAGAACACTGATGTCTGCAAACAATGGCTCATGTGGAACTTGCCCAGAAATTACAGATTCCCCATTAATCTCCTAATTTGAACCTGATATAACATGTATGAGTTAATTTGACGAGGAGGGTGCATTTAAGTAAACCTCAGTCACTGGAACAATTAAAATGTGTTGTGGTAGAAGAATGGAAGAAATCTTATTATATGAGGTGCATTCAATGCAGAGACGATGCAAAGCAGTTCTCAAAGCTAATGGCTATTCATCAGGTTATTCAATATTTTTTCTTTTAAATTCTTGAATATATACTTTTGATAGTGTACAAATAATACTGCTGCAGGCCAGACACAATACAATACAGGACATGAGCCAGATTTTTGTCAAATTAATTATTTGTATTTTTGTTATTATTATTATTTAAGGCCGCATCAACATCTAGGTCATTAGCGACCACTATTGAATATAACGGTATGGTAACTGTGAAGATGATAGGAGGTGAAAGGACACAAATACAATCATGCCCGAGGCGGGACTCGAAACCACGTTCCTTGGGTTTGGGATCGCTACGGCACTACTGCCTTAACGATTTCGGCCATTCAGATCGCCTCGTTTTTTAGTTGAAAGTAAAAGTATTTGTTGGTTGTTTTTGTTTCCTCAGAGTTATATAAAGAAGACAAAAAATAAAGATAGGACAAAAAATATAGCAAAGTAAATATTTAATTTTAGCTACAAGAATTGTGTACAAACAGATTGTTAACCACTGTATATCGCAAGTAACACCCCACAGTATCATAGCAACTTGCCGCAGCAACATAATTAATTTGTTTACTATCGCAGTAATGTCGTAAATATTCGCATAAATCGTGAGATTTTATGGTGACTGATAAAGTGCTGAACATTCCACGAAATGTTACAGTATTATTACTGCCTCGTCCAAATTAAAAATCTCAGCTCCGCTACGCTCCGACTCGATTTTTAACTTGTGGCTTCGACAGTAATAACACTCATAACATTTCTAGGTATACTAATAACTATAACGGCCGGTGGCCATTCAGATTACCTTTTCATTCCTCTGTGGGGTTGCGTCATGCAGATACATGAACGGACAGTATTAAGAAAAATGTTTATTTTGAGTAACTAGAAATAAAAAAAGCCACTATGCATCACGTCCTCTATGAGTCTGCGGGGCGGAGCGACAGCGGAGCCGAGTAGTTGGCGTTCTGAACTCGTCCTTAAATACTAATTTAGGGGACTTAATACATAATTAATAACTATTAACACTACCTGACTCTGGAGCCTCCGCGTCCACAGTACGACAAAACGCAACCGTGCCAAGTGTGGACAATTATGATGAAGAAAATGGCAAAAATACCAAAAATCGGCATTAAAAGCTAAAATAGGTATAATGAAAATCCATTAAAACACGTCCAGAAGTACAATTAAGTGATTGTTACTCTTTAAAAGTCATAAAAAACAATAAAAATAAAAAGAGCATTTTGCCAATCTTCCAGGCTCTAATTATCAGATTGATATGACAATTTCATAAATTCTACCTTCAGACTAACTATTATACATGAACTTGTAGTTTTTATTACCCTCACTGCTGTTGGCAAGAGACACCCCATATTCAAAACTTACGAGTGAAAGGAATGTGCTAATAAATATGGAATAAAGAAAAGAGAAAAACAAAGAATTTGCTTCCTTTGATGTGAGAGATCATGATGGTTTTATAGATCCATAAAATCCACTAACAAATAACTTCATACATATGGCAGGTAAATTTCTGATAATTAGGCCTGTGCTTAAAATGTGAAAATGTTTAAAATTACCTAGGTGAAATGAGGCAATTTGCATCATTATGCCCTATCTTGATATCTGTCTTTAGACAAAATGTCTGATAGACATTTTTAAATTTCAGAATATTCTCTTCAAAGTAATTTGTGACAGTAGTACAATGTGGTTTTTAATATCTTAACTCTCGTGTTCAATGTTACAATTCATAATGTCAAGCATGACAGATAAAACCTATTCTTTATGGGTTTGGTCACTTGAAAAGTGACCAAACCAAGTGATTTAAAAATATGTAAGTGCTCATATATATTTTAATGAGGATAACCCTCTGACTATATTTCTAAAAAAATGTTCTTGCAATAATGGCCCAACTTTAATTTCTGAAGGGTCGCTTTAAACTTTATCACAAAAGTGACCAAACCCACAAAGAATAGGTGTTTTATCTGTCATACTTGACTATAAAAGAAATATTATATTTCTTTTCTTTTACAGCCAAACTAAGTGTACTAATAACACCATATTCGTTTGCAGAGTCTACAGCGTGATTGCACTTCACTGATAAACAGAAATCCATCTGAGAGTTGAAATATAGGCAAATAGTCTTAATAAAGAAATGTATGTTATTGTGTTATTCAACATTAATATGAGAAAAGACAATATCGGATCCCCACAAAGACTATAGAAGTGTTTCTAAGTGCAGTAGTGACGCATGCTGCAAGGATCCAAAGTATGTAGAATTAGACCAGTAATGCACTAACTATAACAAAAAGGTGTGTATTTCTAAATTGTTTCTTTTTGGAATTCCACAGTAATTATTTCTCAAAAACACTGGGACCATTAAAGATAAAGGTATTTTTGCACCATAATATGGAATTGAAATTCAAAACTAGAGTGACCAGATCCTCATCAATGAGAAGAAGAACAGGGTTTACAAAAAGGAATAAATAATAATGTAATATGCGACTCATTGGGTGTCTGTACATGTTACACTTTATATGTATGGTAGTATTCTGATGAATGTAAATACTGAAACACGTAATAACTAACAATTTTTTATTTGAAGTAGAGGCATAGATTCCAGCTACACAATGCTGACCGTTTGAATCCTTCATCCCCATTTTGAATGGTGGACATTTACTGGCAAAGGCATCGTTAAATTTGAATTTCTGCTTTGGTATTTTAAACTATCACAATATACCTTTAACAAATATATCTAGGAGAACAAAAATAGCATGTTTTTGCTCCCTCGACAAAATCACCAACACTTCACAAAACTGTTAAGAACAAGTTAGGATAGAATGAGTCTCAATTTGCAGAGATATGAGAGAATATTCTGGTGATAATGCTGCCACCTACAGGCACATTAGTGTAAACAGAAGTTAAAATTTTTAAACTGAAAAAGATCCAAAATAAGAAAACTAAATCATGGATTACCACAGGCATCAAAGTGTCATGTGAAAAGAAAACGCAACATGTATAAAATACTAACAAATATAACTCAAACTTCATTTCATATTACAAAACAGTATCAATTTCGCATCCCTAAAAAAAGTAATCAAACAAGCAAAAATTAATAACATAATGATAAGTACATTGCAATTGCACGTAATAAACAAAAGCCATGTGGGACATTAATTAAAACGCTACAGCACACAACCTAATCATAGCAAAAAAAACATAGAGCTCCACTACAAAAAAGAAACTGTACAAGACCCACAAGAAATAGCTGAGATATTCAATGACCACTTTTCACATAGTAATTAGTAATAGTTTAATCTCTCAAACACTCTTCTAAACAATAAAACACCACCAAACAAACACTAATATTACAGCAGATTTGTAAATTCCATATTTTTATATGAAACCACCCCCTCTGAATGTTAAATCATTGGACAAATGGAGAATAAATTCTCAGGCAGGCATGGACAACATTCACAGGATTTTCTTATTTAACACATGCGTCCATGTATAGTGCAACACCTCTCTCCACATCTGCAATTACTCTCTAAAATCAGCCATATTTCCAGATATATTCCAAACAAGCAAAAATTAAACATTGTTTAAAAAGGGCCATAGTTATGACCATGATCTACAGGCCTTTTCCCTGTTATCAGGATTTTCAAAAAATTCTGGAACGCACTTTTCAATGAATAGGACTCAAACGTTTTCCCAATGCAAATACTGTCCTTACAAATGCCACAACATGGCCTTCAGGGGTAATAGATCCACAGAACACCAGCCATCTTTCTTTTAAGATGGACATACTGTTGCACTAAATCAGAAGGAAATTCCCATTGGCGCTTTTCTTAGATTTTCAAAAGCCTTTTGACCATCCATTGACCATCCATATACTTTTAAGGAAACTAGGAAATGCTAGGGATTCGAGGCATTGCAGGCCAAATGGAATCAAATCATATTTATCAACCGTAGACAAGTAGTTGCCCTCCAACACACCTAAAAGAAAACAAAATCTCCTCATACTACTCCTGTCCTCAAATAATAAATTGTGAGTCTCCGCAAGGATCCATCCTTGGGCCAATACTATCCTTATTATCATAAATGGCGTGCCTTTGGCTTTAAAGGACAACAAAATAATTTTGTTTGCACGATGACACCAAACATCATCATCAAAGCAAAAGCACAACAATCATTAGAAAAAAAACTCACAAAACTTTGGCAAGCACTAGTAAATGTTTCAAGACAACCAAATCATCATAAACACCAGCAAGACAGTCTCTCTAAATTTCGTGATCCTCCGATCTAAAGAAAAACTCTCACACCATTGCTCATAAACAATAACCCTGTAACGATATCTCATGAAACTACCTTCTCGGACTAACAATTCAACGAAAACCTAAAATTGGAACACATCACATCTCAAATCTTAACAAGAAGCTCAGCAAATCTTGCTATGCCCTATAGCACCTTCAGTCAAAGCTCCAACATTGAGAACCACTATCGAACAATGTATTTTGCAAATGTGCACTCACACCTAAAATATGGGAATACACTATTCTGGGAAATGCCCCTGAAAAGCAAGCTCACACATTCATTATCTTCAAAAAAAGAATACTCGAACAATGACCAGCCTCATAGCTGGAGTCTTGCAAACCTTGTTTAATAAACTAAGATTCTTCCTCTACCATGCATGTACATATTTGAAATAGTGGTCTTCACAAAGAAAATTCCATGAAACAAAGACACTTTTAACTTTAAATTCTGATGTACATAACTACACACACGTCAAAAGGATAACCTACAAGTTCCCCACTCTGAAACTACAACTTTATCAAAAAAGTACCCTAATACAGGGCATATACACTTTACAATAAACTAGGCAATGATATCAAAGACATTAAACAACAATTCATACATTTAAAAAGTAACTTGAAAGCTTTCCTGCTTAACAACATGTTCTACAGTGTAAAGGAATTTCAATTACATTTCCCTTAAAAAATATAAATAAATAAGAATTTTTATTCCATTAGACTTTCCTGTTTCATGTGAACTTATTTCAACTGAAGGCAAAGAAGAAAAAAGAACTGGCAATATCACAATCCTGTGAAATAGAAGAAAAAAAAAAACTGGTCCAAAAACTGCCTCGCTCACCATTTCAAGTTATAAATATAGAATGTACTCTATTGTTAAATTTGAATGTAGTTGCAACATAATTGATAATTGTATTTTATGTAATTATTATAATTATGTAATTATTAATTATTGATGTAATTATTATTCATTATTGATGTAATCTATTATAAGTAGTACATTAAATATCATATTGGAAATGTTAATTATTTAGCAGATATTTATCTTACTGTATAATATCTTTAATCTAACTGTAACAAGTATTGTATTTTCTAGGCCAATGACCCATCTTGATCAGGTTTGTTGCAGTTTCCCTGATCCTTGAGGCAAATGCTGAGATGGCCCCTTGTTTTTGCTCCTGAACAGTATTTAACTTCGCTTCTCCTCACCCAAGGCATGCATATTGGACTCGTCATACACGATTGTAATTGTATATGTGACTCAATAAATATTATTATACTATTATTATTATTATTATTATTATTATTATAAAACAAATAGTTTCAAAATATCATGCTCTCAGATGAGCAAGTTACAAAAAGGAGAACATTTTGGGAGTTAAAAAAAATTCGCCCACACACTGGACAAAAGAATGAAAAGGAGGACTTGTATGGATAAAAGAGGTTGTCTGGTCACTCTACTCAAAACATGTGGATAAGGATCACTGTTGGGCTGGCTGAATCTCAGTCATTCCTTTGTCTAAATAAAATTAAAATTGATTTTATGGGAATAATCTCCTTTATTAAGTACTGCAGTAATAACATTCAGGATACAAACTATGGTAACAAGTACCATCTACAACATTTTTCTCCTAAATGGTATATTTCATTCAACAATAAATTCTGAAGTATAAGAGACCTGCATTCTACTATAACTTGAAAATTGTCATTGCGGATTATGTGACAATCTTTATGACAATTTATTTAATGTAAAAGCATACCTCAAGAATAGGGGGCGGATTTTAATGAAATGGTCATTGTTTCACTGTTTCTTTTTTCACAACAATGCCTTTTAGTACAGTCATTAATTTAATGTTATGACAAAAGGAAATTACCTCATTTTTATAAGACCTTTTTGCATTTTTGTCCATTTTCAGATATAAGACATTTTTTACCCTTTCCAATCACTTTTAAAGCATTTTTTGCTGCTGTCATCGATTCTATTATTATTATTATTATTATTATTATTATTATTATTATGGTATTTGCATTAAATTTACAAGATGCAACAAATTCTCTGCAAAATTGCTGAGTAGCCCATTTGATTTTCTCGCTCAGAAATTGTACTGTCAGTAGTTGCGAGTATCTAATCAAAGGTTTCTGTGACATCTATCCATGTTCAGTTCAGCCGAGTTTGCGATAACTGAAGAGAGATTTCCTGGTAATGAACACTCCAAACCCAGTTTGCAAGCCGAGTTCATTTGAAAGAAATGAAGAAGTGATGATTACGGCAGTAACTAATCCAATACTTGTTGAGTTGTTCATCTGAACTGGCTTTTGATAAAATTTTTTACATAATTTTTCTTTGCTTTTGGGGAATTTTTTAAAACAATTCAAGAGCATTATTGAGATCATGAAAAAATCTGCCCCCTACTCATGACCATCAGAAGATGGGTAAACATAAACATCAACCAATCACTTGTTATAGTTGAAAAATAAATTGAGAAACAAACAAATATGTTACATACAAACAAATAAAAAACAATTCAGTTCCATGTGAATGATCAATATGATCAAATTCTACACTAAAATAACTTCACAAAATGAACAAACTGTATTCCACACTAAACCAACTTCACAAAAAGGACAAACTCTATTCCACACTAAAATTGCTCACTGAAATATACATTATATATTTCAAGATTGAAAGACATGACACTTCATATTTGTATGGAATACTATTTAATTTAGCGACAAATATCAGCTACCAGTAGCAGGATTCAGCAGGGAAGGGGGAGGCAATTAGAACCACCCAATGTAGGGGAATTTAAGAATTTTTTTCAGTTTACTATATATTTTTAAATAAATTAAAATTTATAATACTATGATTTTTTTCACGGAATTATAAATATTAAATTCCAACGTATGATCTTTCATATCGTGACATTCATGTATTGAGTAAAAACATATAATATAATATATATTTAATTTAATATATAATATATATATTTAATTTAATGTATGACCTATACATAAATAAATATAAATTTGAATGAAATACAAAACTAAAGCTCAAATAGCTTTTTGCTGTATACAGTTTTTTGTTATTGTCTTATTTTGTTCCAAATAACATAATTTATTTTGTTACCATGACATAATATGAAAAGAAAACAATAAAAAGAAGTGGTGTAAGTAATAAAGGGTTAGCAAAATGAAGGAAACTATTAGATTATAAGTTAAAGATTATTATAAAATTTATATATCGGTTACTTCCATCTAACAAGTTCATAGACTGATTTAATTTTTAAGCTTGAGGTTTCCGATACTAAATGGGGAATATTCTCTATTTTCACAGTCCAATACTTTTATTATTTTGTGAAGGGTTAGGGTCCATATTTTTTGACAGACGAATTCTTGTACCGTTCATTTATTCCATAATTGTGCAACAGCTTCAAGGATTGTTGTCCCAATCATCAGGTTGACACATGAGAGCCCACAGATGGTTTTACATTGTAAAAACAAACAAACAGATGAGTTTTACAATGTAATGGGGACAAAAGTCCCTGGAACTGTTGCACAATTATGAAATAAATGAATGTTACAAGAATTCGTATGTCAAAAAATATGGACTCTAACCCTTCACAAAATCATAATTAATTAAAACAGACTAAAAGGTCGAAATATGTGGCTAATATTTTTATGTTTATGGAATCATATTGTGATTATAATTAAATGTAGGTTTTGTTAATGAATTTTACCTCTTTATCAAGAAATTGACTGATCATATATTGAAAGTTAATGTCAATACATTTGAAAGGTCAAGAAACCAATTATAAATATTTTAAATTAAAAGTTAAAATTTATTTTAATAATCATATAACTTGGTTTCTATAATATAAAAGATATTTTGAAATATGTGCTAAAATCTAATGCCTTCCTCTGATCTGAAATCCTATCACTGACAGCTACCTACATCTACAACACTACTTCACCAAAACAGACACAGACGCCAACATTACGTTTCTGAAATCAGAATTGCACATCTAGCGGAAAAATGTACTTTGGAAGATATAAAATATTGTATCTTCTTTCCAATTGCTACACTGTCTAGAATGATTAACTGTGGAGGATTTTAACATGTTTTCTTTAAAGAACAAAGGAGTGAAAAATCTGTTTGGCTTTGGCCAACAGTTAAGCACTGAATAATCTTCACACCTGTTTATTTCAAAACGAGCAATCATTCATTGATCACATTCAACAACAAACATTAACATAAAATAGCATTTATATCACTATTTACTTCATTCTACTAATAGGATTGTGATCCGTTTCCTTATACTTCGATGAAGAAGCTACCCAAGGTCACATTCTATGCCCGCACCTCACTTGGCTCAAGTTTTACTATATTTTTTTTTTTTTCTAAACTATTGGGACACACATAGCTTTCTGTTATCACCACAACAATTTATGTCAAAAAAATTATGTAAAGCTAGAAAATATTGCAAGGAACTTTCCAAATCTTCTGAACAAAAAAAAAAAAAAAAAATAATAAAATAAAAAAAATAATGGTGCACAAAGTTACCATCCGTGAACAAATCTTAAAAGAACACGGTAGAGCCATGCAAATTTTAAATTTGAAACATCACGCTAGTCAGTATCGCTCTCAGAAGAATCATATTCTCCCCTGCGCTTTAATGGTCCCCGCCAATGATACTCTCTTGGTGGAGGTGCCTGATTGTAATTTGGGACACTTCGTGAAGTTGATGGAGTAGAAAGATATGCATTTGAATTCATGGGTGGAAATCTTCCCTCATTTGCCTGTGCCCATTCTGCATCTGCATCAAAAGACAATATTCCTCGTATTTTTCTACGGCGAGTCTTAACATGTTTTACTACAACACAGTCATCAGTATCTGGTACTCTGGAACTTCCTATTCCCTGAGAATAGATTTGGTGTGGCGATTCTCTGGGAATCGCCACAGAATTTAATGCGGTTTGAATCGCATATTGAAGTAGTGTGTTCTGAGAAGGTCTTGTAAGATTTAATGGCTCAGACTCATGGATACCATGCTGACTTTCTGAGTGAGATGAATGGGCCATGCTGAGATTATGAGCGGGCAATGTGTATCTCTGCTGACCTTGATTCTGTGCTGGAGGTTGCTGTATGTACTGTGACTGTTGCCATGATGAAGGGGTTTGTATGGCATCTAAAAGTGGTATCAATGCTGGTGGAGATGACTGACTGTGTTGGGAAGGTGGCAGTTCAGAATGCAATGTAGGAGAATGTGATTCATCCATTCTTAATAATGGTGGCGGATGTGATGGTGGTGACATTGATTCTGGTAATCTTAATAGTGGTGGAGGTTGGAACTGTGATTGAACAGTGTCTGACAATCTTATTAATGGAGGTGGAGGTGTTTGTGCTGCATTGTCTGAACGTTGTGGTGACAGTGATTGTGTTTGAAGATGAGCTTGTGCATGCTGGTCATTTGGATGTGAGGTCTGGCGTGAGAGCTGTTGATTGAACTGTGCATGTGAGGAAGAGGGAGGGGCTGTTGGGCGATTGACTGGTGGGAAGCTCAGTGCAAGTTGGGATCGATGGGGGCGTGGCTGTGATTGTAAAGGAACCCGTGGGTGGTCATATTGATGTGAATGTGTAGTGGGAGTAGGAGGAGGTAGATTTAGGAGGGATGTAAATGTCTGTTGTCCACGAGAACGTGGTTGCGTCTCGGTTGGCACACCTGGCACATGTGAAGACTGTTGTGTTTCTGTGTGCTGTGCATGAAACATAGAGTGATGAATATGGCGCTCTTGGAGAGTGGGGTGATGGGTATGGTGTGCATGGGGAGTAGGATGATGAGTACGATGTACTTGGTGAGTGGGATGATGGGTATGTGTGGGGTCATGGGTACGATGCACAGAGTGGTGAGTGTGTAATGCATTGTGTGCAGCATGATGGGAATGACATGTACATTGTGGATGACGTTCTTGGTGCATTTGAACATTTGATTGTGATGACTGGTGGTTTTGAACTGGTCCATGTTCTGTTCGACAAGCAGGAAGTTGACATAAGTGAGGCAGGATTTCCAAATGCTGAGATGTGGATCGTAAGCGTACTTGGAATGACAAAATATCTGCCCGTGCCTGAGGCTGTGATCCACTCCTCTCTTCCTCTTGTGGTGGCAACATCTGTTCTTGTTCTTCATCTTGTTGTTCTTCCTCTGGTAATGCTTCTCCCTCACCATCTTGGTCAAGCTGTCCCCCATCCTCTTGGACAAGTTGTTCCATAGCCTCCTGGCCACGTTGCCCCTCATTGGCAGGCAATGGGTGCCTCTCATTGCCAGGCATTCCGAGCAGTACAGGACCATGTTGAACCTCATGCTGGTCCTGAAGTCTAATTTCAGCATTCCTGTCAAGAAGAAGATGGTTAATGAAAGTTATGGAAGGTGGAAGCTTGTTGACAAGGCAAACTGAAAGTTCAAGTTGAACAGCACTCACTAGTAGTTTTAAAATTAGATCTCGCAGGTATAATAAGGGAATTTGCAGTTTTCCTTTGGTAGCAAAACTAACTTCAGAGAATGTTTATAACTCTGCTTTTATCACCAAATGAAGCTTTTGGCAATGTATGAACTTTAATTAATAGTTTAAATATAAGTAAATTATAAATGCTTGTAACTCTCTCTTTTGTTATCAACACAACATAGTTTTACCCCCAAAATATTATATATTACTTTATAATAATATTATTACTTTATAAATCCATAACAACTTTATGTTCATGATTCACAAGACTTCAGTATCTTATTTAATTGGTGTATTGATAGTCATTAAGAGTTTAATGCAATTAAATGTGACAATTTTGAGAGTGAGGAAAGGAAATTGTTTCATTAAGAATATTATCTTAAATGGCATTAGTTTTGAATATTTTATCTTGTTGGAGTAACTCTTGTAGTATTATAATAAATACACTGGCACAATCTTCAATAAATCAATGCATTTGATGGGTTTTATTAACAATGTAAAGGTATTAAATCCACATGGGTGTTGAGGCTGCTTTATTTATCTTTTAGTAATTCTCATGATATTCGCAACTACTGTATTGTTGTTGTGCTACAACATTGATTGTATAAAAAAAGTACCACACAAATTCTTCACAATATTGGCATAGGTATGGCAATTGCCAAATCTATTAGAAAATCTTAGATCCCTAAGAGAAGATGAGCAGATAATTATTGTCCAGTCAATGTACCTGAGAACATGGGAAAATATCCTCAAATTTAGACCAGTTATTAATATTTAATTAGAATGTGAGGTGTGCCACTTCACTTGTCATGCCTTTAATGCATTTTAAATTTGTTGATCTACTATGATTTTTTTAATCACTTTTTTATGAACTGAATTATTTTAGACACTTTGAATAAAATTGTTCTTACATTGTATTTTGCCCTGTCAATTTGTATTATTTGTTTCTATTTTAGAAAAAGTGCAATTTTAATCTCTTTGGAATGAAATAGCATTAACCGCTCATAATGTTGAAAACATTCGTTAATTAATAATATTTTTGTCCATTCCACAAGGTCTGCAAAACCTTTTTTGACATTATACAGAATTATGTTTTCTTCTTTTAAAGATCTGATAATGAATGCTACATTTGTAAAATAGTCCTTTTTTGGAAGAATATTTTCAGTATGTCTGGCACATTTCTTGCAAAATTACTTCACAAATAGCAGCAATTTAGCATTAGCAAATGTAAACATTGAACAGTGAAGGTTGAAAGCTTCTATGGCCAGAATCTTATGAATAATCTTGACTATCCCGGTGGCTGCCTAGCATCATAGATATTCAAGTGGCAACATTACAACACCATGATAATTCATTGAATAACATCAACAAAAACTACTGCACACTCACTGTACTATGATATAGTAGCACCGAATACAGGCAGACATACATTACGATTGAATTTAGATCTGTCATAAGGGATGAGTTTGGTTTTGAGAATGTATACTTTTCTTCTAGTGTCTCGTTGACAGGAACTAGTGCTATTTTGTAAACTACTTTTCAACATATCCTCTTTGAATTTGATTGAAATGAAAATTTCTTTAACTGACAAATTTCAGCACAAAGATAATGTAAATAAATACATTTCCTCACAATATCAAGGACATGAAGTATATCAATGAAATAAACAATAATATAAAATTATGAATCATCAGAGAAAACATATTCTAAAGAATAGCATCTCATTTCTTCTTCTGAGCCATACCTAAATACATCCTCAACTTTCACAAAGCACAGGTAATCAATAGAACACTTTACCTTACATTGCACAAACTACTCTGAAATGACAGTATGAACAGTTATTTTAAGAAGGACAGTTTAAAAACTAAATGTTAAGAAAGTAAAACAAATGGGTTAATTATTCCAAAATGCTCAGAAATAATAATAATAAAATCTGAAACTGCATGTAAAGAAAGTATCTAGAATATTTCTACTCTAAAAGGTTTTAAATAATGAGTAAAACATACACTACAAAACATGCCCTGGAAAATAATAAGTATTTATTTATGTCAGTTTAAATTTTTTAAACATACCTTAAATAATTTCGTTCAGGATTCAACAAAGCTCTTCCTTGTGTTCTTTCTACTCGTATTTCACTATAGTCATCATCAGCTCGAACATTGTGGAAAACAGAAACAATATTCTGTTTGCACAGGGGGCATTCGAGCTTTACCTAAGAATCATAAAATGATCTGTATTAAATACTAATCAACAAACATGTTTCAACAATATGACAAATTTAAGAAATGGGTCTTACCTTAATCCAGTCCCATAAACAACCAAAACAGAATTGGTGAAGACATGCATTAACAAATGCTTTTTCTTTTATCTTGCCCAAACAAATTGGGCACACCGGTTCTGAGGAGCTATTTTCTCCGATTCCATTTTCATCGTCTGATGACCCAGAGTCTATGGGTTGTTCTTCCCGATTCGACATGAGAGAGATCTAACGCAGATACTACTGGAAAGGATACCTCCACTTCAACACACGTCCACAAGCCACGAAGAGCTGAAGACTACAGACCTGCAACGCCAAATACGAAAGTATATGTACCGCCTGTTACCGAGCCTAATCGAAGTTACCCGAAGCGAGCCGAACGCCTCCGAGACTCGACTGCGAAGATTGAAGCACGAAGACACCGAAAGAATAAAGGCTAATTTTATTTAATTTATTCAGTAACATTGAATCTCTCCCAATCTGACGAAATGCTAATACCAAATACATTGTACTAAATTATAATAAACTATTCGATTGCAACAGCAAAAATGCTGTTTAATAAAAAGCTTCTGCACAAAATGCAATTCCAATGCATACACAATGCTCAAGAATATCGAATAAAAAAACTGTCTTCATGAATACAGCAAAATACAGGGGCGCCTAAAGAAAACAAAAAGCCTGGGGCAATAGATCCACACACGCCCATTATTTTAAACAAAAATAGATATTTCAAAAAAGAATTACAACTGAGTACATTTAAATCCGGCAAGAAGATAGAATTTATATCATTTTTAACATAAAAAGGAACCGTCATCCGCAGGATCCATACTTGATTCCCGTTCTCTATAATAATAACCTGCAGAATAAAAATTGAAAATTTGCAAAGCGCAAAGTTCACTGCGAGATAACAAACGTTTTGTACTGAAAAGCATATATATTTGATTTCAATTGTTCTGTAGTGCAGCATAAACTCAGTTTTATTTTAAAATGATTAAGCGTTATGGAGCAGTATGCGAATCATTCCAAAGTACTTATACATTTTTGTTGTTGTTGTATCTGTCTGTAGTTGCTTCTTTTTTTACTCTATTTTACCCTGAATGCGGGGCCGAAGGTGCTAATATGTCCCAGCAGTGGCAGGTTGTGAGGAAATTGGAATATCAGATGGAAAAGAATTGGTATTGGGAATGGGAGACTCGAGAGCAGGTACAGTGGAGAAGATAAGAAGACAAGAAATAAGGGTGGAGGACGGAGTAATTGAAAGGGATGGGTTTTTGGCAGGAGACTTTGTGGGAATTGAGATAATTGCACAGATGATACTATTAACAGGCAAATATTATCTTTCTATTCATGTGACGCATATCAATCACGTTGTGCATAAGATTGCACGAATGGTATTATTGTCCTCAGCACGTGCATTAGTTGAAATCGTTAGGAATTGTGCGGGGACATAATTTGTTGGTAATATTCGTGTGTCGCGTTAAACAAAAAGAAAAATCGTACATATTGGTATTTTAATTTATGTATCCCAATCACTAAATTCTCTTGTCACGAATATTGCTAGATGTCTTACAATAAAATAGATTTTACTATCGCGTCACCGCTGATAACTTTGATAACTTCGCAGGAATAAACTTCGATAAACAGAGAATGCCATCCACGTTCTGACCCAATAGCTTCTAAGAAAATGCATGTATTATTTATGATTTCGAACCTCTTTTAGCTGTAATGTTTCATAAAAATTGGTCTTCCTCAATGATTCTTCTTCGTGGGTAACTTTTGGGCAAGCTTTTCAAAAAGCAAAATCATTTTCTTCCTCTCTTCCCGTTTGTTGATTGGCAATGGGTGAATAACGATACATTTAAGTGATACCCATTACTGCTTTGAGAGTTCATTAATACTTCGTATTTGCATGTCTTGAGAAAGAATTCTCACTAAGTATCGAAATCTAATTACAGTGACACGTTTTCCTTTAGAAACTTCTGACGGTGTATAATTTTAAGATATGTGTCCCCTTTTCCACAATCTTGAATTCCAACTAACCTGCAGAGTCCGACTCTTCTCTCCTCCATTTCAGACGTTAGGGATTTTGTTTATCATAAGGCTACAAGCTGGATACACAAATTACTATTTAAGAGCAATTAGATTACCCAATTAGATTACTGATATTGTCAAGAGAGGTAAGCATTGACACACTGAGGAAAAGGCTCATAATAATGTGTAATTAACTTTGTCTTCTTTGTAATTAAGTATTATTATTATTATTATTATTATTATTATTATTATTATTATTATTATTAATAATGTGCAGTGCATTGACGTGAAACTGAGAGAAACGAGTGAGTAAGAAAGACATTACAGCTCGCTGTATCGCAGTGCGGTGAAGTGAAGTGTGGTGAAGTGGAGTACTGTGAAAGATTGCACGGTGAAATGTTCACGTGATTTTGTAAATTTTGTAGATTTTTTATAGTTGTTAAGTATCTATAACGCTAAGTTAGTGTATTCTGCCACCAAGTTCTCACACTTAATTGCAGAATTATTAATAAATCTAATCTAATCTAATATTTCGTAGATCAGGCCCCAGTGGTATGGGGGTGAACATTGGCTGCCGATGTCTTTCCAAGCAGTAGTCCCATCTCCGAGACCCCATAGAACCCTGTCCGCCCTCTTCATCAGCAGCGTCGATGTCTGTAATGTCTAGATGCATGGCATTGTACATTACGATAATATAAAAATACATTATGAAACAAAATCCTTCGGTTACATTTTGAATTGTGAATCTTGCTGTTTTTCCCGGCCTCACAAAAGTAACAACTGGTAAAAAACGCTCCAAAGTATTTCTGGTACTTGCTTACATACTAGTACATGTACGAGTATATATAAATAGTGGATGATTTACGTTGATCATCACTGCACATCTTATCTCCCTCATCAAAGCCCTGTGAACCGTACAAATCATTGGTATCGGGTTGGTGTATTTTACTCTTCATGAGTTCAACACAGAACAGAATGCAGCCAGCTCTTATTTTTTATTTTGCCTTCGAGATCCTTCGCGGGCAGACGTTCGTTCGGCCGTGTTCCTCACCCTCGCGTTGAACCCTTTCTACGTCTCCATGGGAACTTGGACGGTTTTAGTGTATGCCCAAGCTGTCTGGTCCCAACTTTACTACATGCGGGACGACGGAGATTTACTTATTTAGTCAGTAATACCGTAATATAAAATCTGTAACTAGTTTGTCGATGAAGATAGTTTTCATTGCATAGGAGCAATTTTTGTTGGCAACGACTTTTTATTCGTAATTCAACTATGCATAGGAAAAGAGACAAGCGAGAGTTTACGGGGTTCAAGGAAACATTCCCACGTTATACTTCTTCCTTATTCGTCCCAAACTAGTTTTGTTATAAATAATTAAACTAAATAAATACATCTGCAAAGTTACACGTGGTTCCCACAACAAGATATGAGTTCAAACGTTGAAACAAATATTTGAGTTATTTGTAAATTGACATGAATATGATGACGGTTTATAGTCTTTACGAATTAAATTAATGAATCCATTGCCGGGCAAAAAACACATTAGATCACTGAGCAGAAAATTACTTTATTTCTTGTATTTTAAATATGAGCATCTGAAATAAAATTGTGTGAACTCTGGGTGATATTATTTGTTATTGTTGCCACAATACCCCACTATTGAATTGTTTCCGCATAAATAACACGTAAATTAAGCGGGCATTCATTGAAAATGTTACTTCTCCATGGACAGTTTTGTCATGTTATTTTTGTTCTGCTCTGAAGCGGCGCAGGCGAATATTCTACCACCATCGGTGGAGAAGATACAGAACCTAAATGAACAATGATTACATTCAAATTTGCTCAGGTCTAATCTATGACATGATACGCGGGTAGCGTAACTGCCATTATCTCTCATTTCGTGAGCTTTCCCGAGTTCTCTAGTTGGTATTGTTTATGCCACGTCGATAGACAGTTTATGATGATCAGCTGATGGATTCTGGACAGCTCCAATTTGGTTTACGAGTAAGTAAAACTCCGGTTGTATGTCGTGAAAAATGTCATTACAGGTGTATGCCCTCGTGTGTTATACTGAAAATACCGTTTTCACTGAGAAAATAAAAGGATAAAAATTTACTAGTACTTTTTACAAAGTACCAGATTTGGATGTTGATAAAGATGAGAAATGCCCTGACAAAACGTGTGTGTAAAAATTTAAAATCCGATATACTCAATATGATTGGTTTTCTAGTAGCCACCATTTAAAATACATTTAATTTTAATTTGTTTTATTATTAGTATCAAATTTGTGGAGAGGAATACGAACAAGAAATAGTTCAACCCTTATTTTCACTAATGGTACAGTTTAACCAAACCGAGTATTTATTTATTTCAACATATATGTGTATTTCTGTGGAAGGAGAGTGAATTTTGTCGACATTGCTTCACCAATTAGCGAACTCAGTAGCCGCCTCCGACTGGGACACATTATGTTAGTGCCCGTTTTCCTTTTGGATTAACAGTTTACTACTGCACCGTAATAGGATACCCTGTCTTCTGAATGACGCATAAGCAACTCCTGACTCAGCAGTGTTCGGAATGCGCGCTTCTGCTGACGTTATCTGCTTCCTCTCAGGCATTCTCAAACTATCCTCGCGGCCTTTCATAATAAGAAGAATATATCTGATGCGTATTTCTTTCAACAAGAGTCGACAATTAATGTTTTTGGGCAATGCGAAATACTATTAAATGAGCTTAACAAAACTGGAAGTACCGGCTGATTTTAGCTCAGAGCCAGCATTGCCGTTGGCTCTGCAGCGAGTCTGACCGGGAGGTCGCAGGGTACGAGTCGCAATGATGATGGCTTTCCGAAATTAACTACATAGCTAGTTCCAGCCGCTCTCTAGAGGGGAATTCTGTCGGCTGCTCTGATCGATGGTTTTCCATGAATTCTTCGATTAATACCAGGAGAATGCCAAAACAATACCCCAACAAACGGCCCACGGACGGCGCGCAATGTTTCCTTCCTCTTCCTTGTCATATCCTCCCTCCTTACACACTCTCACGCTCACACACACACACAAACACACACACACACTTATATAGCATTACACCACCACATATATTGGGAGATCAACAGGGGCCAGTGGCTTAGGGCTTGTACTGACTGGGGTGGTATTCCTCTGGGGGAGATACCTGGAGGTAAAGACGACGCGTAGGTCGGCGTCGGATCTCAGTGGGGAAGGATTACTACCACCTCCTCACATCACTAACGAGACAAATGACCAGCAGTT